CCAGGTTCGATTCCAGTCAAGGGCATGTACCTTGGTTGCAGGCACATCCCCAGTAGGGGGTGTGCAGGAGGCAGCTGATCGATGTTTCTCTCTCATCGATGTTTCTAACTCTCTGTTCCTCTCCCTTCCTCTCTGTAAAAAATCAATAAAATATATTAAAATATATATATATAAATCTTTGTTTAAAAATAAAATAAAATAAAATAAAATGCTGATAGTGCCTGGCCAGTGTGGCTCAGTGGTTGAGCATCGACCCATGAACCAGGAGGACACATGCCTAGGTTGCAGGTTCGATCCCCAGTAGGGGGCGTGCAGGAGGCAGCCAATCGATGATTCTCTCATCATTGATGTTTCTCTCTCTCTTTCCCTCTCCCTTTCTTTCTTTGAAATAAAAAAAACATATTAAAAAATAAAATTAAAATGCTGATATTTTGTTCATCATGCATTTTAAAATTCATAATGATTTTTTTTAAAACATGGTAATAAAATACTATTTATCTTGATTGCTGAGTTTTTTGGTGCCACCTTAAATGTTGTGCCTCAGATAAGTGCCTCACTCTCCTCACCCGAGTCCCAGCCCTCACTTTGAAATGGTTTTAGCAGGAGATTGAGAGTGAGAGAGCAATGGTTGAATCTCAAAATGGTGAGTAAATGTGTGTTCATTCTCCGAATATTGCAACTCTGTAAGTTTGAACATTTTTCAAGTTGAGATAAGCAAATAGTCTTTAGACTTTGAAAATAAAGTAAAATTTAAAATAAATTTTAAAAATACTAAATTCGTAGATACAGAGAACAGAGTGGTAGTTGCCAAAGGTGGAGGGATAAGGGGTGCATGAAATGCGTAAACATGGTCATAAGCTTCCAGTTATAGAATAAATAAGTCCTGGGGATATAATGTCCAACATGGTGACTATAGTTAACAATACTGTGGCGTACATTTGAAAGTTGCTAAGAGGATAGATCTTAAAATTTCTCATCACAAGAAAAGAATTTTTGTAACTTTGTGTGGTAATAGATGTTATTGTGGTGGTAATTTTGCAATATCAAATCGTTATATTGAAAATAATGTAATGTTATAGGTAAATTATATCTCAGTAAACAAAACAAAACAAAAGCAATTAAGACAAAATTGCAACAAAAGAAACAAACAAACAAGTAATTGTAACTGTGCAGTTATGGATATTAACTAGACTTATTGTGATGATCATTTTGCAATATATACATATAATGAATCATATGTTCTACACCTGGAACTAATATGTCATATGTCACTTATATCTCAAGTTTTAAAAGTCTCTAGAATTTAACAAATTAACTCTTGCTACAGCTAGAGGGTTTATAGATTTCAATAGTCTTGGGACAGTCCAGTTTAGTCCAGTACTCTGGGAATAACTGGTAAAAGCATCCCTTTTTACTCCCAAAAAGTATCCCCGTTTGGATGATACATTACATGGTCCTACTTAGCATAAGAGAACAACGTGAGGATTTCTATAACCCCACTCTCATCCTGACTCCTCCACAGCGGGGAGACCTTAGGTAAGTCACTCCTCCAAGTACAGCGCTTGTCAAACATTCACAGCAACCAAACTCTTTCTCAAGTGAAAACTCACTGCAGAGCCTCCAATATGAGCAACAATTCGTAATAGCATTTTTTTTAGTAAAAATTCCTTTTCTATCTTTAACTTAGTATTTACCCACAGGGCAATTGATTCTCACTGAGGCTGTTGAGATGGACACATACTAGTACATGTTAAACCAGAAATCTTACTTGGTCACACATCCACTTTGTTCCCTGACTGACAGAGAACTGGTGGCAAAGAGTAAGTAATTTTTCCAGGGTCCCCCTTGCGCTCTAAGTTAAACAGAGATGGCAGGAGAATCCTAAGGTAGTTATCTCCAACACCTTAAAACCTTGCTGCCCAATGCACTGAGCATGCATTTTATAACTACAGTTAAAAAATTTTTTAATGGAATTTGATGCTATATGCAGAACTGCCAAAGCCCCTCCTTGGAAACAACTAAACAAGATAGTCAGTAAGGTCACATCCAGTTCAAAAGCTTCTGTTTTTCTAAGTTTACTTTTTGTGGAATTCTGAATATCACAGAAGGAAGAAGGAATAGCACCTTAAAGATTTGGACTCTCCTCTCCTTCAACCAAAGCCCCAGAACCAAGTGGGTCTTTTAGAAGACTACGGACACAGAAGTGGAATGGAAACAGTTGGGCTGTTGAACCTGCACAGGGCAGAGATGGTCCAAAAGCATATCAGGGAGATGTTGGCAGCTTTTTCCGTCTGCTTCCAAGAGCCTCCGGTTTTTAAGATTTTAAAAAAGCATCTTTATCCTCAAAGTTTGGGAGCTAGAGGGTAGAGATGGACGAATTCTAACGAGTTTATTGTTTTAATGCCAGCTTGGGTCATGAAATCAGCTTATGAATTAGGGAAACATGGGCTAAATGTGTCTGGAGATGTAAATTTGAGGCAATCACCAACTTTTAAAAATGGGAATATTTTGCGTAAAAGTCAAGACTTCTGACTTTGCCGACAACAGAAAGCTCTGGCAAAAGTAGACTGCTTTCCTCATGGAGATTCTGAGGTACAGCCAAGGTGCCCACGCCCACCCTAGACTGAGCATATGTCCTCCATGTTCCCATTGTCTCCACTCTCGGCTCCTCTCCCAGATGCATGATAATCATTAAGATTTTTCACTGGCCCCTGTGGGCATGTCAGCGTGCCACCTATGGAATAGGTAGTTGTACTTGTGAGACTAAAATTGGAGCCAGGTGGTACAAGAAGGATGGGTCAGGAAGGCTCCTGGTTCTTGTTTCTCAGAGCTCCTGCACCTAGGGCTGTTACCTTGAGCAAATCACAGTGAGGCTCAGCTGCCTTACCTGTACAATGGACGCAGAAACTCATGCCCTTCCTGAAGTATGGGCTGTGATAAGGATCAGACCATAGCACCTGGTGCTTTATAAACTGTAAAGCTTTGTAATCCACATCTGTGGTTGGTCAGTCTCACATCCATCCATCCCCACTTTGCCTGGTACCAGTGCCCCAGTTTCTGTCCTGGGAATAGCTTCTCCCATTCTAGGTCCACGTAGTTGGATGGTGTTGACTCCATGCTCAGCCCAAGTGGGCAGTTGGGTCATTGGGTCAGTATGGTTTAATCACAGTTCTACATTCTCTTAGACAATTGATTGGTTCTGGGATGGGCATATGAGCCAACTGAGATCAATAGAATCAAGGCCAAGATTTTAGTTCAAACTGCAGGGAAAGGGAAGCTCTCTTTCCTACTGAATTGGCTACCATGTTGCTAACCTAGGGATGGCAGGTCTGCAAATAGAGCCCACAAGGAGGATATAGGAATGGAAAGATGTTGAGAAGCAAGATCTGGGTCCCATGATATGAGGCCTTGTGTCCAGATATACATCAATACATAATTTTCTTCACTTTAGCCAGATTGGAGCCCCATACCCCCACAGGTGGTTCTACACTATCAGGCAGACTTGTGAGCGTTTGTTTGATTTGCATTCATTTCTCTGGGCACCCCCTAATCCTGAGTCCTGCAGTGCCCCTGCAGCAGCAGCCAACTCTTCTCTCTGCCTTGATTTGACCATCCACACTGCCTTCTTGAAGTTCTTGAGAGGGTCCTGTTGTGAGGCTCTTGATGAAGGGCACTGGAATCGTTCACGGATGAGATAGCCATGTCTGGTGGGGGCAATGAAGCCATTGGCGGTTGGGATGATTCTGTTCACTATGGCATGGACAAACTGGCTGGCCAGCAGGGTGCCTGCGGGGAGTAGGGGTGGAGGTCAGGGCAGCACAAATGAGAAAATCAGGGCCACAAAGATTCAATTTCACATGTTCAAGAGTTGGCTGCATGGGGTCAAATATCTGCTATGCTCTTTACTTGGTCAGGCATGACATCTAACCTCTCGGAGTCTCTCTTGCTTCATCTGCAATATGGGAATGATAGCTGAAACTATGTGCCTAGGGGAATTCTGAAGGTTTGAAGATGTCATGTACATGATTAATATCAATTTCATCCCAGAGTGAGCTCAGTGATGATGATGATGATGATGATGATTGAAGGAAGAGTAGAAAGAGAAGTTCTGAACCTGTCCAGGATGGGCTTTTAAGGCCACAATCCACAGACCTCAGCTTTTGAGCCATGTGTCATTTTTCTAGGCATCTTTGCTACACTGTAATAGACTATGATGTATTAGATTACAATGTATTGGATTGAAATGTATTCTATTATAATGTGTTTAATTACAATGTATTCTATTATAATGTATTCTATTATAATATATTTGACTCTACCTAATATTTATTCAGCCACTCAATTGCTTTGTGACCTTGGGATAGTCTTTTAACCTCTCTGAACTTCAGCTTCTTCATTTGTCAAATGGCAAGGGCACTTACCTCTCAGCCACTGTCTATAGGAAACACTGTAGGAAGGTGAAAAAGGTGAGCATGGGGAGCAGGCAGACCAGCTCCAACCACAGCCTACCAGTTATTCACTGTGTGACCTTGGGCAAGTCACCCCATCTCTCATAGTTTCAGCTTTTACTCTGTAAAATCGGGGTGACTGTTGAGAAAATTAAATGGCTCAGTGGCAGTACCCAGTACAAAAGAAGGGTTAACTGTTGTTAATATTCCCTTAGTGTAATATTGAACAGAGCAGAGATGTGGGGTTTTCAAAAGTTAGGCTGCTCCTAACTTTTATGGGGCCTGGTGCAAGAGAATGAATCAAGGCTCACATCCTATAAGACACAATATGTAAATGTTGCAAATCCAGCTATTAAACTATTAAATGAAATATGTTCTATCCTCCTACATTGATGGATATACCTTTGGAAGGTCAGGTTTAGGTTGAGAATTCTCAGTCTCTGTAGTTCCATGCTGGAAGGTAGTGGTGTGGGAGAGCCAACCTCCAGCTGTTTGTGGCTCAGCTCCCTTCTCTTCCCACACCCAGCTCGATCCTAAACTCCTAGGCCTCACATATCCAGATTCCCTGCACAGCACCCCATGGCTACCCCCTGAGCCTAGAGGTATGCACATTGGTGGCATGGTCCACCCCCAGAAGGATGGACCCGGGGAAGAGGCCTGTGTAGACCCTAAAGAGGGCTCCAGGCCTGATGGGGAGGGTGAGTTCCAAGTACCTAGAGCAGTGATGGCGAACCTATGACACACGTGTCAGAGGTGACACGCAAACTCATTTTTTTGGTTGGTTTTTCTTTGTTAAATGGCATTTAAATATATAAAATAAATATCAAAAATATGTCTTTGTTTTACTATGGTTGCAAATATCAAAAAATTTCTATATGTGACACGGCACCAGAATTAAGTTAGGGTTTTTCAAAATGCTGACACGCTGAGCTCAAAAGGTTCGCCATCACTGACCTAGAGCATAGGTCTAGACAAGGAGTTGTAGCTCCAGGTAGGCCTGTCACCTTGGTCTATGGAGACCTGGGAGAACCAGCTAGAGGAGGCCAGAACAAGACCTCCCATGGCCCAGAACAGGGCTTTCTTCTCCAGATCTAAGCTCAGTCCTGTTCTCAAAGTAAAATGACTCACCATCCAGCACACTCCAGACAATTACGGAGCGATCCCTCAAGCCCGCGTACACATACTTGTCATCCTTGGAGAAGCAAACACATTGGACTCCTTGACAGTAAGAGTTCTGTTGAAAAAGACAATGTGATCTTGATTTCAGACTGAAAGATACACAGGACGCCAGCCCCAAAGCATGTGTGTAGGAAGCAAGGCTTGTAAGCACCCCATGGAGGATGGATCCAGTGAAAACCTGGAGAAACGGGTAGTATTGATATTTCCAGGATCAAAGCATACCTTCACTGGGACTAGATTGTGAGTCTTAGAGATATTTTGCATTAGAGAGCAGAAATTCTAGGATTTAATTCTTAAATGGCCTCAGTTATACAAGTATTAGCTATAATTGACTTTAATTAAAAGCTCTGTGTAAATGCAATATGGGCTCTTAGATTGGATCCTAGAATGGAAAATGGGAATTTGTCAAGAACATACAGTTTCAATAGAGTTGATAGTTTAGTTAGTAAAATATTATTAACATGTTAATTTCTTAGTTTTGACAAACACATTCTTTTTACATAAGATACTAACATCAGGGGAAGCTGGGTGAAGGGTGAGTAAATGGGAACCTTTATACTACCTGTAAATCTAAACTTTTCTGTAATTCTAAAATCACTCCAAAATTAAGTTTTTTTAATTAAAAAACAAACAAACCAGAAAGCTAGGTGTATTTAACTGCAATAGTGACATTTCCCATCTCAACAAGACAAAACATTACTTACATCCCAGCCTCATAGTGGCTTCATAAAAAGAAATAAGTCAGGTGGGACAAAGGTTTTTTAAAATGAAACTATTCATACTCTGCTCACTTAATACAAGGTCATCTCCCTGTGTTTAACAATTTTTACATCTTGCAACCTAAGGTACAGCCTTTGTTACCTAATTGAAAAACTGGAATAATAACCCCAATGGTACAAGAGCATTGTGAGGGTTAAATTAGAGAATATTTTAATATGTATATTTTTATATAATGTGTAGATAATATGAATATATGAATATATAATATAGTTCTTCATAATATTAATACAAAATTATAATAGCTCCTGGAGATAGGCAGTGTGGACTCCAAGATACTTTGTGTATAAAGGAGTCACTGGTTTCCCTTCTCAGAGCTTTTGCAGCTACTGTTCCTTCTGCCTAGAATGCTGTTCCACAGGACTTATTTGACCTTAACCAGCACCCCATGGTGTGTGCACTTAATAAATGCTACTCTCCACCCTCTTGACATTGTCCTATTTTTTCCCAAAGGCCTGTTCCCCAGCCCATCACATATTTACTGCTTTATTTTTATTTCACAAACTTTTATTGAGGATATGTTAGGAACTCCCCTAAGGATGGGGACCATCTTGATGAGCAAAACAAAAAATTCTGCCCTCACAGGGATCCAGTGTCTCCCCCAACAGAACATGGCTCCAGGAGGTGGGACCGTGGGTGTCTTCCCTGGTCACAGCTGCTTCCTCGGTGCTGGAAAGAAGCTGCCATGGCTTGTGCAGCCAGAGCCAGTGAGTGAAAGAATGACATAGTCAGGATCGGGGCGAGTGAGGCAGGGCTGTGCCAGTGCAGGATTTTTTCCTGTCTTGATTTAAAATGTTGATTTTTTTTCTTCGTGGATCTTTTTCTTTTGTTGTGATTTTTTAAAAATATATTTGCGATTTTTTACAGAGAGGAAGGGAGAGGGATAGAGAGCGAAAACATCGATCAGCTGCCTCCTGCACACTCCCTACTTGATTCCGCAACCAAGGTACATGCCCTTGACCAGAATCGAACCTGGGACCCTTGAGTCCACAGGCTGATGCTCTATCCACTGAGCCAAACCGGTTAGGGCTTGTTGTGATTTTTTAAAAAACATTGTACTAAAATATTATTTCTCTTCATTACTGAGTTTTGGGTGCCCCTTTAAACTCTACTCCCAAGGCGAGTGCCTCACTTTTCTTATCCCAGTCCCGACCCTGGTCAGTGACCCATGGTGTGTGCACTTAATAAACGACTCCGGTCATTGGTTTTCTAGCACCAGGACCTAGCATGGCCACCTACCGTGTAACTCATCTCGAACTTCCACTTGCACACCTCCAGGTCCCAGAGGCATAGCAGGGCTTCCTCGGACCCGCTTACTGCCAGCTGCTCCTTGTGGCTGACGTCCACGCAGGTGACCCGGCTCCCATGGGCCTCCAGAGGGAACACTTTGGAATTCGCACACTCGTAAAGGAAGAGGTCGCCGCTGGTCATGCCGTAAATCACACGGTAGTCAGCCAGAACGGCCACGCTGGATATGGTCACAGGCAGCTGGGTGTAGAAGGTGTAGGTTGGCCCATCGATGACTGGACAGGGGTCCCCAGGGTTAATGTCCAACACCAAGACGATGCTGTCATAGGCGATGGCCAGGCGCTCCTCGCCCTTACTCAGGGCCATGCAGTTGACAGCTTTCCGGGCCTCTGGAGGGGGGATGCACATCACATCCTGCCTGGAGTTCAGCGGGAACACGAGGACGATGCCGGAAACGAGGCCAGTGAAAAGGAGTTTGGCCTGCTCAGCGACCTCCAGGCACCTGACCTCATTGGAGGTGTCCAGGGCATCTTGTTCTTTACCTGCCGCGGGGACAAGACCACATCAACAATGCTCACTCCGTGTTTATTTCCGTTTTTTTTTTAATGCTTTTATTATCCATAAGCTTCAACTTGGCTTCTGCAAGTTTCTCTGCTTCCACTCCTGCCACAAAACCATCCGAGGATTTAAAAATGAAAATTATGCCCAGCCCATGTAGCTCAGTGGTTGAGCACCAACCTGTGAACCAGGAGGTCACAATTCGATTCCTGGTCAGGGCACATGTCCAGGTTGTGGGCTCGATCCCCACTAGAGGGCGTGCAGGAGGCAGCTGATCAATGTTTCTCTCTCATCACTGATGTTTCTATCTCTTTCTCCCTCCCCCCTCCTCTCTGAAATCAATAAAAATATATTTGAAAAAAAATATTTTTAAAAAAAAGAAAATTACATCATCTCGCCCTGGCTGGTGTCGCCCTGGCTGGTGTTGCTAAGTGGTTAGAGCAACAGCCTGTGGACAGAAGAGTTATAGGTTCAATTCCCGGTCAAGGGCATGTACCTGGGTTGCAGGTTTGATCCCTGGCCCCAGTCAGAGTGCGTGCAGGAGGCAACCAATCCATGTGTTTCATATTGATGTTTCTCTCTCTCTCTCTCTCTCTCTCTCTCTCTCTCTCTCTCCCCTTCCCCCTTCATTTCTCTAAAAATCAATGGAAAAATATCCTTGGGTGATGATTAACCAAAAAGAAAAGAAAATTCCACCATCTCACTGCTCTGCATACCGACCAGTGACTTCCCACTCCTCTCACATGACCTCTTTGACCTCATCCCAAATGTTTCCCTTACAGACTTCTGTAAAGGCGAAAGAGGAAATACTCTAGCCTTGCAGACCATATGCTTTCTGTTGCAACCATTGAACCCTGCCTTTGTATCCCCCAAACGGCCACAGACACTATATAAACACGTGGGTGTCTGGAATTGGCCTGCGGGCCGGAGTTCGCAGGCTCCTATCTTATCCCCAACCACACTCCATTCCTTTCCGGCTGGTTTTGCCCCGCAACTAGCAGGCAAGCACCTCAAGAATCTGTCTTACTCACCTCCCAGAGCCTGGCACTAAACAAACATCTGTCAAATCAATGAGTGCATGAACTTGAGAATGAATTTCTTTTCTTACATCATTTTATCATAAACAGGAATTTCTATATTTCTGTTCACACCGTGGGAGCCGATGCTGTTGGTAAAACACCCAGACTCCTTTTACTGGCCAGTTCACCCAGACCCAAGGCTGCCACTGCCCCGAAGAAGGGAACCTTCATCTGGAAATGCCTGGGGGCTACGCCCACCCCACCCTCAAGGATGGCATCAGGCCAGTGACTGCCTAATATGGGCTACAGAATGCTGGCCCCCTTGCTTTGAATGGGAAAACTCGGAGGTGCGATTTATGCTCTGGAGCTCCCCGGCCCTGCCTGCTTCCTCACTACCTCTCAGGCTTCTCCTGGGCGCTCCCCTCCATACACCACGTGGGCAAATCCCCCCATCACATGCCCTGCTTTCCTTGGAACCTGAACTAAAACAGACACTGACAACCAGTTATCAATTGCCTTGTGCCAGAAATTTATAAAACCAAGTCCTGTTTCCTATCAGCCACTTAAATTTTACTGTAGTGTGGGGGTGATATGGACTGAATGTTGGTGCCCCTCCCAAATTCATACGTTGAAATCCTAACCCCTCATGTGATGGTATCTGGGGGTGGGGTCATTGGGAGGTGATTAGGTCATGAGGGCGGAGCCCTCACAGTAGGATGAGGGCCCCTCTAAGAGGAGACATGAGAACTTGCTCTCTCTTTGCTCTCCACCATGGGAAGGTACAATGAGAAGATGGCCATCTGCAAACCAGGAAGAGAACCCTCACCGAATACTGGGTCTGCCAACACTTGATTTTGGACTCCCAGACTCCAGAACTGTGAGGAATAAATGTCTGTTGTTGAAGCCTGCATCAAGAATGGATCATAATCCTAGCCAGTTTGGCTCAGTGGATAGAGCATTGGCCTGCAGACTGACAGGTCCTGGGTTCAATTCCAGTCAAGGACGCTTACCTGGGTTGCAGGCTCGATTCCCAGCCCTGGCAGGGTATGTGCTGGAGGCAACCAATCAATAGGTCTCTCTCACATCAATGTTTCTCTCTCTGTATCTTTCCCCACAACCCCCACCCCCGCTTCATTCTTTAAAAATCAATGGAAAAATATCCTCGGGAGAGGATTAACAAAAAATAAAAAAGTTTGCCCTGACCGGTTTGGCTCAGTGGATAGAGCATCGGCCTGGGGACTGAAGGGTCCCAGGTTTGATTCCGGTCAAGGGCATGTACCTTGGTTGCAGGTATATCCCCAGTGTGGGGTGTGCAGGGGGCAGCTGATCGATGTTTCTCTCTCATTGATGTTTCTAGCTCTCTATCCTTCTCCCTTCCTCTCTGTAAAAAATCAATAAAATATATTTTAAAAAAAATTTAAGAATCGATCATAGCCTAGTGGGTGTGGCTCAGTGGTTGAGCATCAACCTATGAACCAGGAGGTCATGGTTTGATTCCCAGTCAAGGTACATGCCTGGGTTTTGGGCTGGATCCCCGTGTGGGGTGTGCAAGAGGCAACTGATCAATGATTCTCTCTCATCATTGATGTTTCTATCTCTCTCTCTCTCCCTTCCTCCCTGAAATCAATTTAAAAAAAAAAGAATGGATCATAGAAATGCTCATTCCACGGTTTTTCCAATTTTTCAATGCTTTCATTATCCATAAGCTTCAATTGGCTATTGCAATTTCCCTGTTTCCACTACCCAAATTGATAGTGTTCTGTTACAGCGGCCCAAAGAGACCAAGACAGGACTTCAGTGCTTACCCACACAGACTGACCGTGCTTATACAAACCTTCTGCCAAATCCCAGATGGTGACTTTGTTTTTGTCCCCAATTTTGGGGAAGTAAATGTAGCGTCCATTGTGGGACACAGCAGTGAGGCCAGTGCGGTCCAGAAACGGGGCGGAGGCTCGCGGCTTCTGACTGTAAGTGAGATCCCAGACTTTGAAGGATGAGGACTGCTGGGAAGCGGATGCCACCAGAGCCCCACCCTGGGCCAGCAGGCTCACGGGGGCCCCAACGCCTTCCAGGATGTCCAGCAGGGTCCCCTGTTCTGACAGACTCCACACCTGAGGATGGAGAGCAGAGGGGCAGAGCTGACTTCTTCCTTAGGCAGCTGTAGCTTGAAAATGTGCTTAAGTTCATTTGTCCAACTAAGGTGAATTCTTAGGCTGAGGTTCAAAGGCCTTCGTGTCTCCCCACCCCCTAGAACATCCCTACATCTCACCAGTCTACCATCATGGCAGTTCTCAAAGTGTGTTCCAGGGAACCCCTGAAGGGTACCCCCCCAGCCTTGTCTGCAAAAGCAAGACTATTTTCATAATAATTCTAAGATATTATTTGCTTTTTCCATTCTCTGCCTCTCACGAGCAAGCAGTGGAGTTTTCCAGAGTTATGGAACATGTGATATTATAACAGATAGGAGTATGCAGAATCAAGTAGGAGAGTTCAATAGTCTTCTATTAAGTCAGACACGAAAGAGATTTGCTAAAATGTGAAACAATGACACTCTTCTGATGAGTTATTTGGTTTGTTTCAGAAAATGGAATTATTTTCATAGAAGTAAGATATTATGCTGACATTTCATGTTACTGAATTAATGGATAATTAATTTTAGATTTCCTTGTTTTTAATTTTTAATATGACAATTGCCAATAAGTACTAAATGCAATGTGGGATTCTGAATTAGATCCTGGAATAGAAAAGAAGTACAACTGGCCTGGCTGGTGTGGCTCAGTGGTGGAGCATCGACCTATGAACCAGGAGGTCATGGTTCATTCCAGGTCAGGGCACATTCCCTGGGTTGTGGGCTCGATCCCCAGTAGGGGGTGTGCAGGAGGCAGCCGACCAATGATTCTTTCTCATCATTGATGTTTCTATCTTTCTCTCCCTCTCCCTTCCTCTCTGAAATCAATAAAAATATTTTTTTTAAAGAAAAAAGTACATTTATGGGAAAGCTGGTGAAATTGGAACAAAATTTGCAGGTCAGTTAAGAGTATTATTCCAATGTTAATATCTTGGTTTTGATAAAGGGACCAAGATAATATGATATGTGACAGTTGGGGCAAGCTGAGGGAAGAGTAGATATATATTTGGGGGCTCTCTTAGACATAACTCTTCTTCAAATACTAAAAGTATTTCAAAATAAATCACTTATTAAAAACATATAGATCAAATTGATATAATCCGCATAAACAAAAGCTCTTGGGGGGTGGGTATTGCAAAAACCTTTAAGAATGTAAAGATGTGGTGAGCTCAGAACGCTGCAGAACCAACCTTGAGAACTCTGAGCTTAACAGGAACTTTCCTCCCCTCCCCCAGACCGGCTCCACTCTAAAGGTCAAAGTCCTCCTAGTCTTTCAGGTTTAGTGGGAATGCTATCTCTGCTTTTGAATATTTTGGTAATCTCCCCAGGTCTGTCACTGGGTCCTCAGAGACACCCACCCCTTATCCTCCCAATGACCTGCCCTGTTTTGCCTGCACTAGTTTTCTGTGGTTTTTTTTGAAAGTCAAAGATACCTTTAAAAAATCATACTTGTTATTTCAGAGGCAGAGGTGAGGATGACAGGCCCTAGCTGTCCCCCTCACCTGAATGAGTGCATCCCGGGACCCCGTGACAATCAGGTTGTTCTCAGGACCGAAAGCAGCTGTCTCCACTGTGTCCTCGTGTTCAAGGTCAGTGGCCATGAATCGATGAAACCCCTGTGAGTTGGCCAAGAATATCCGCACGGACCTTCCAAAGCCTGAAATGGCAGGCACCGGGGTTATGCCTTTCATTTCTGGAGGAGCTTGAGTAATTCAATTGAGTCAACAAAGTTTTTTGAGCACCTACTATGTGCCAGTGGAAGGAATACAACGGCGAGCATGATAGACACAGCCCTCATCCTCACAGAGCCTACCATTGGGAGAAGTGGAGGGGGGTTGACAGTGATCAATAATCTCACAGAAAAACAGTAAAGATATTTATGATCAGAAGACAATGAGTTTTCTGAGGACTGGGACTGCTTATTTGGGCTGCTCATGATATCCCAGAACACAACACAAAGCTGGGCGCACAGTAAATAGTATGTTTTGAAGAAGGAAAGAGGGAAGGAAAAGAGGGAGAGAGGAAGGGAAGAAGGGAGAGAAGAAGGAAGGCAGAAAAGAGGGAAGGGAGGGAGGAAGGAAAAGAAAACGGTTAGAATTTCTGATAAGGGCACTGTGGTCAGGGGAGTGGTTGCCACGAGAAAATGTCCACAGACACACGTGGCAGAGGAGGCTCCGTGAAGGCAGAGGCAGAGACTGGGATGTGGCCACAAGTCAAGGAATCATAAGGCAGAAGCTGGAAGAGGCAGAAAAGGATTCCTCTCTAGAGCCTGTGGAGGGAGCCAGCCCTGCCAACACCGTCATTTCCGACTTCGGCTTCTGAAACAGTAAGAGAAGACATTCCTGTTGTGTTGAGCCACCGCATTTGCGCGGTAGCTTGTTACCTCAGGACCTGTGAGCTGACTGTGGAGGAATGAGGAAGTGGCAGGCCCTGGGAGAGGTGGACAGGCCTGATGTGTCTGAGGAGCAGCGTGCAGGCCAGTGAGGTGGGAGGGCAGGGAAGGAGGGCGAGATGCGTCAGAAAGAGCTGCCAGATTTAGCAAGACAACAACAGCACACACAGTTAAATTTGAATTTCAGATGAACATCCAAACAGTTTATTGGTATATAAGCATATCCTAAATGTTGTGTGGGATATCCTTGTACTAAAATGTTGATTTGCTGTTCATCTGAAAGTTAGCTGGGAGTTCTGTATTTTATCCGGCAACTCTGCCCAAGGGGGACTTGCTCACTTGCGTTCCAAATACGGTCTAGAGCAGTGGTTCTCAACCTTCCTAATGCCGCGACCCTTTAATACAGTTCCTCATGCTGCGGTGACCCCCAATTTCATTGTTACAAATTGAACATAATTAAAGCATAGTGATGAATCACAAAAACAATATGTAATTATATATGTGTTTTCCGATGGTCTTAGGCGACCCCTGTGAAAGGGTCGTTCAACCCCCAAAGGGTTCGCGACCCACAGGTTGAGAACCGCTGGGTGAATGTTGTGTTGAGAGAACTAGCAGGGAGGTGGGCAAATGGGGACTACATCTCCTAACCAACAGGTTGGTCCTCAAAACTGTGGATGGGTGCCCTAGCTGGTTTGGCTCAGTGGATAGAGTGCCTGCCTGCCGACTGAAGGGTCCCGGGTTCGATTCCGGCCAAGGGCACATGCCCGGGTTGCGGGCTCGATCCCTCGATTCCTAGTAGGGGGCGTGCAGGAGGCAGCCAATCAATGATTCTCATCATTGATGTTTCTCTCTCTCTCTCTCTCTCTCTCTCTCTCTCTCTCTTTCTCTCTCTCCCTTCCTCTCTGAAAATCAATAAAAATATATTTTAAGAAAGAAAAAAAAACACGTGAATGAGGAAACTGTCCAGGCTCCTTCTTCTCACTGGCTGCTGGAAAGAGCCACACTAGAAACCCAACTATAACAAGTTTTATTTGGGGGGGGGGTTGGATGTGCTTAGAGAGAGAGAGAGAGAGAGAGAGAGACATTTATGTGAGATAGAAACATTGATCGGTTGCCTTCGGTACACTCCCCAACCAGGGATCAAACCCTAAACCCAGGCATGTGCCCTGACCAGAAATCGAGCCAGCAACCTTTCAGAGCTCAGGTGAGGCACAACCACCTGAGCCACGCTGGCGGGTGATCTGTAGCAAGTGTTCAGGACCTAAACTTTAGGTCACTGAGCTCCTCAGTGTCTGTGGCCTCGGTTCTGACTCTATTTTGTGCCTCTATCTTGGTTTTTCTTTTTCTTTTCGTTCCTATTTCCTGTGCTACATGTTCCACATGCTTAAGCCACCTGACATTCTTTTGGAGACAGGACAGAGGGTATATACCAACCTATCATCTGTCATTTGATCTTAGAGGGTAAGTGTTCACCTATCAGCCCTGCACCCTCCAATAGGGTCACATTGGTGGCTGTTAATGGTTAGAACTGATAAGTATAAGCATCAAATACACACTAGATTTCAAAAATTCACACAAGAATTTTTTAAATAATGTGAAATATACCATGCGTGATTTTTTATGTTGATTTCATATTGAATTTTTGGATGTGTTGGGTTAAATGCGATATTATTAACATGAAGGCCACCTGTTTCTTTTTACCTTTTGAAATAAGGTCATGAGAACATTCACAACTAGAAACACAGCTCACATTTGTGTTTCATATGACTGGACAGCACTGATCTACAGAGTCTTTGACCCCTGGAATGGCTTTGCAAAAAATCAGGCCGATTTTAGGGCAGGGAAAAAACTCTGTATGAGACTATGATGATGGATACATGTCATTATACATGTGTCCAAACCCATAAAATGTACAAAACCAAGAGTGAAAACTAATGTAAACTGGACCTGGGATGGTGTGTCAATGTTGGGTTATTGATTATCAACATGCACCGCTCTGGTGGGAGATGTGGGTAATGTGGGAGGCTCTGCAGGTGTGGGAGTGGGGGAAGGACATATGGGAAATCTCCGTATCTTCTGCTCAATTTGGTTGTGAAAAAGGGGGGGGGGGGGGGGGGGGCGAAGACCTTAAAAAAATCAGGCTCTTGAGCATGTTAGTCACCTCCACTAGGAAGCCTTCCTTGACTGCTTCGAACTAAAGAAGGAAACCCTGTCACACACTCCATGGCCCCTGATTCTTGTCTTTCTTGTGCCTGCCTATGTGTCCATCTTCCCTGCCAGCCGGAAGCCCCTAAAAGCAGGAGCTGTGTGGGCTGGCTCACCATCCCCTCCCCCAGCCCCGCTCTATCCCTGTGACTATCCACTCCAATTTCAAAGGTAATGAACCAGAAATCTAGGAAGGCTAGGAGATTTGCCCGAAACAAGGGTTGGCAAAAGACAGCCCATGGGCCTGAACTGGCCACCTATTTTTTTATATGGCCCATGAGCTAAGAAGAGTTTTTACATTTTTCAATGGTTGGAAAAACTCAAAATAAGATGACTATTTTATGACACATGAAAATAATTTGAAATGCAAATTTCAGATACATAAAGATTTATTGGCTCATTGCTACACCGGCTTTTGCATTACAGGGCAGAGGTCAATAGTCGTGACAGAGACCGTCGGGCCCACAAAGCTAAAAATGTGTGCTACGTGGCCCAGTGCAAAAAGTTTGCTGATCGCTGGTCTCAGACCCTGCCTTTCCCCCAAGCCCCTCTTCCCTTCCAACCAAATCCAGAGCTGCCTCCTCAACACTCCCCAGCGAGCTAAACGCTACCTGCGGCGAGAAGGGAATCATCTTCAGAAGTGACCAGGAACCCCACAGCTTCCGGAAGCTTCCCCAGCAGGCTGTCTCCTTCAGAGGAAACCTGCACAAAGTCAAATATCCCCATCAAGCATTTCCATAGGCTTAAGGGTTCAGGGTCAAGAGCTTGACGCAGGGCTGTTACCAGCAATGTGACCCTAAGCACATTCCTTAAACCCTGGGTGCCTCCGTTTCCTCATCTGTGAAATGGGTGATGAAACCAGGACTGCCTCACAGGGCTATTGTGGGCTAAGAAGTGTGTAGAACGGTCCCCTCACCCCCCACCCCCAGGCACATAGTCAGCTCTTCCAAAGTGGCAGGTATTATTATTGTTGACATTGTTATTGTTGTTGTTGCAACAAACTCAGGGACCCAGAGAACATTCTAGCATTTGTTTTCTGCCCCAGAGGAGGTCTGGAGATCTCAAAAATCAAAACACAAGGCCGAGCCAGAGGAAGGAAGCACTGTTCTCCCCCATCCCAAGTTGCAGAAATGAGCCGATTTTGATCAAATCTAAGAGGGAGATTCATTCATGAACCCAGTTTCTCAGCCCCAATCCAGCTACTGGGTTTTGAGTACCTGACTGCCATCAGCCCAGGTGCCAAAAGCATTACATTCATTCTCTGTTGGGGCGAGAGGGAACAGGACACGTGGGCAGCCCAGGAAAGTGAGTCCTTTGCACCAATTCAAGCCAGGAATTTTAAATACTTGTTCAACATTTATTTAGCAGGAGCAGGAGAAAGTGAATTTCCTTATGGATGTTACTGCTGACATTTTTAAACACATGATTTTTTTAAAGTAAACTTTTTTACAATATATTTTTATTGATTTCAGAGAGAGGAAGGGAGAGAGAGAGATAGAAACATCAATGATGAGAGAGAATCACGGATCGGCTGCCTCCTGCACGACCCCCACTGGGGATCGAGCCCACAACCTGGGCATGTGCCCCTGACCAGAATCAAACCTGGGACCCTTCAGTCCGCAAGCCAACACTCTATCCACCGAGCCAAACCAGCTAGGGCTAAACGCATGACTCTTTTATTTTTATTTATGTATTTTTAATCTCCACCCAAGGAGTGAGGATATTTTTTCGATTGATTTTTTTAGAGAGAGTGGAAGGGAGGGAGGAAGAGGAGAAGAAGGAGGAAGAAGAGAGAGAGACAGAGATAGACAGAAACATGGATATGAGAGAGACACATCCATGGGTTGCCTCTCACATACACCCCAACTGGGTGTGGAAATCAGACCTGCAACCCAGGTACATGCCCCTGACTGGGAATCGAACCCACGACCCTCCCCACTGAGCATACCAGCCATGGCTAAACATGTGATTCTTTTAAAACTTAAAATATTAAACAATAATACTGTATAAGATATTTTTAAAAAAGAAATATCCAGCCCTCGCCGGTTTGGCTCAGTGGATAGAGCATCGGCCTGTGGACTGAAGGGTCCCCGGTTTGATTCCAGTCAAGGGCACATACCTGGGTTGCGGGTTCATCCCCAGTGTGGGGCGTGCAGGAGGCAGCTGATCAATGATTCTCTCTCATCATTGATGTTTCTATCTTTCTCTACCTCTCCCTTCCTCTCTGAGATCAATAAAAATATATTTAAAGAAAGAAAGAAAGGAAGGGAGAAAGAAAGAAAGAAAGAAAGAAAGAAAGAAAGAAAGAAAGAAAGAAAGAAAGAAAGAAAGAAAGATTAAAGAAAGACCCAGTGCACACCATGAGCATCTTTTCACCTTCCCTGTTCTTCCTTCTCCCCAGAAGGGACTGTTGTCCATTTGCATAGATACATGTTTACAGGAGCATCCTTTGTGGCACAATCCATCACAGATGTTTTGCAAGTTGCTTTTTCACTTAATGTATCTGGGGCAGTGGCTCTCAACTGAGGGGTGATTTTGCCTCCCCAGAGGATATTGGGCAATGTCCGGAGACATTTTTGGTTGTGAAGATTGGGAAGATACTTTGTACCTAGTGGGTGGAGGCCAGGGATCCTGCTAAACATCCTGCCATGCACAGCACAGCCACCCAAAGTAGGGGAGGGCCTGGCCCCAAATGTCAATAGTGCCGGGGTAGGGGGTAGCATAGCGGTTAAGAGCATGGATCCTAGAGCTAGGCTTCTTGAGTTCAAATCCCACCTGTGAGCCTCTCTGTGCCGCCTCAGTTTACCTATCTGTAACAAAGGAAATGGCAGCAGCTACATCTCGGCATTGCTTTGAGGGTTAAATAAGTTAACAAATAGAAAGTGCCTGGAATAATGCTTAGTACACAGCGAGCACTACCTGAAAATTTGTTGTCATTTCCATGAAGATAGCTCTAGCCCTGGAGTTGGCAAATCTTTCCTGTAATGGGCCAGATAGTAACTATTTTAGACTTTGTGGCCATATGGTCTCAACTTTGCCACTATGGCACAAACACAGCCATAGACAGCATATAAACAAACTAGAGGCCCGGTGCACAAGATCTGTGCACTGGGGGGCGGAGGGTGTCCCTCAGCCTGTCCTCTGCCCTCTTGCAGTCTAGACCCCTCGGGGGATGTCTGCCTGCTGGCTTAGCCCCGATCCCCCCCTGGGGACCAGGCCTAAGCCGGCAGTCAGACATCCCTCTCGAAGTCCAGGACTCTTGCAGTCCGGGACCCCTCGCTCCTTACCGCCCGCCTACAGCGGAGGTGGGAGAGGCTCCTGCCAGCACCGCTGAGCTTGCCAGCTGTAAGCCTGGCTTCTGGCTCCCCCATAGGGGGAGCGCACTGACCACCAGGGGGCAGCTCCTGCATTGAGTGTCTGCCCCCTGGTGATCAGTGCATGTCATAGCGACTGGTTGTTCTGCCGTTCAGTCAATTTGCATATTATTATATAGGATGGGTGTGGTGTGCCAATGGAACTTCATTTATGAACACTGAAATATGGATTCCATAGAATTTTTACATCACAAAATAAAAATTTTTTTTCAACTACTAAAATTAGAAAAGCCATTCTTAGTTCATGGGCTACACAAAAACAGGCCATGGGCCACAGTTTCCTTACCACTGCTCAAGACTATCTGATTTTTGTTGTTGTTAATCCTCACCCAAGGATATTTTCCCATTGATTTCTAGAAAGAGTGAAAGAGAAAGGGAAAGACAGAGAGAAATATCGATGTGAGAGAAACACATTGATTGGCTGCCTCTGCAAGTGCCCTGACCAGGGCCTGGGCTGGGGAGGAGCCTGCAACCGAGGCACGTGCCCTTGACCAGAATCGAACCCGGGACCCTTTGGTCCGCAGACCAACGCTCTATCTACTGAGCCCAACTGGCTAGGGCAAGGCTATCTGATTTTGTTATAGCTACATAATCTTCCATTGTGTAGATATTCCTAAATTCATTTAACCACTTTTCAATAGATGAACATTTAAGATCATATCAGTGTTTTCCTGTTACATAGAGAGCTGCAAGAAATACCATCCTCTAGGCTGGTCGCATTTTTAAGTAAGGGGTGTATTCCTGAAGATCTCGGGTAATATAAGACATGCCTCGATTGCTCAGGGAGCTAAGAGGCCATGAGGTTCAGACGTGTGGAGCTCTGGAATGATTCTCTAGTGGCCATATTCCTCCCCTCATCAAACCCTCAGCTCCTTGGCACCTGTTTCCATGACACCTCTCTTTTCCTTAAAATGCCTACCTCTCCACCACAATATCCCCTATGCCCTCTATCTTTCCCTTTCCATCTTGGATATCCTTCTTGCTCCAAGGATGCCTCCCTCAGGGAGCCTTCCCAGATCACCTCTTCCAGAAGTATTTGTTCCTTCCCCCATCCAACACACTACCTCTACTGAAAACAGTCTGTTCCTCTTAGTGTGGCTATGTCATTGGCAAGCTCATCTCCTTCCCTAAGTTGCGCTTTTTTTTTTTAATTGACTTTTAGAGAGAGAGGAAAGGAGAGGGAGAGAGAGAGAAACATCAATGTGAGAATGAAACATCGATCGGCTGCCACCTGCACACCCCCTACTGGGGACTGAGCCCACAGCCTGGGCATGTGCCCTGATCAGGAATAGAATTGGCAACTTTTTGGTACATGGGTCAATGCCCAACCAACTGAGCTACACCGACCAGGGCCTACGTTGAGTTCATGAGGGTGCAGGTGGACTCCTGGTCCTTCCACAGCCCCTCCAGTGCCTGGTGTGATGCCCCTGTTTCTCCACCCAAGACTCCTTATATAACTTGCTATTGGTGGCCCATGAATATCCCTTCAAGGTTCTTTTCTGTTCCTGAAGGTTGCTTACTGCACTCTGCAGCTCTGCACCTGGGTTGGTATTTTTTCTGACTCCCCACCCCCATCCCGCCATCACACTTGGCCCCTGTATGAATGCTCTTGGGAGTGTCCAGCCACTGATGGAGCTGGTGGGCAGTCCCCCAGCTCCTGGCTCCTCGGTGGGGACAGCTCTAAAGCACAGTCTTACACTGTCTCCCACATCATCTTCAGCAGGACTGAGTGCCAACAATTGCCCGCATTGGCCATCCCCCAGGAGACACCAATAGATGTTTCCTGAACTCCACTGAATTGTGAATCTCTAGGATTAGGAAGCTAAGTGTCATTTATTAAAAGATCAACGGTGAGATGGTTTCTCCCAACTTCTAGGACATCTGAGCACTTTAGAGTTGAGTGAATGTTGGCATCATTTATATATATAAAAGGCTAATATGCAAAGTGTCCCCACAGGAGTTTGACCGGGAGACCGGGAGCTCTATCGCTCGCTATGATGTGCGCCGACCACCAGGGGGCGGCGTGAAATGAAGGAAGGCCCTGGCCAGCAGCCGGAAGGCCCCTATCGGCCCTGATCCCCGGCCAGGCCTAGGACCCCACTGGTGCACGAATTCATACACCGAGCCTCTAGTATTCAATAAAGTTGCTTACCAAACAGATGGAGCCCTTGCTGAACCCAACAACCATGTGTCCTGGTTTCTGGACTGAGACCCCACAGGTAGGTGTTTCTTCTTTGATGCTGGACAAGTGTTGCTTCCCCCGCACTTTTCCTGTGGCTGAGCTCCACAGACTGACCACACTGCCTTCAGACACGGTCAGCAGCGTGGCCTGGGAAGCCAGCGCTGCCGTGCAGATCCAGGGGTCGGAGGCATCTCCCCGGATATGGAAAATCAGCTCCGCAGTTTCCAGATCCCAAGCATTGACCTAACAGAAGGATGACAATGACGAGAACACTCAGCAGGACACCTAGGCTGCAAGGTTTCCAGAGTCAAATGCAAGGCCTGTTCTTTTTCAGAGTTGCTGCATTTTATTTTCAACGCTCTGCTAGTTCCCAATGTAAGGGGGTCGGAGAGAGGTATCCTGAATCGGATCCTAGAAGAGCAAAAGGACATCTGTGGAATATTTAATGAAATCCAAATAAAGCCTGGAATTAGGTTGATAGAAGTTATCAGTATTAATTTCTGAGCCCTGGCCGGTTTGGCTCCGTGGATAGAGCGTCGGCCTGCGGACTCAAGGGTCCCAGGTTCGATTCCGGTCAAGGGCATGTATCTTGGTTGCGGGCACATCCCCAGTAGGGAGTGTGCAGGAGGCAGCTGATTGATGTTTCTCTCTCATCGATGTTTCTAACTCTCTATCCCTCTCCCTTCCTCTCTGTAAAAAATCAATAAAATATTAAAAAATATATATTAATTTCTGAGTTTTGACAAATGTAGTTATGTAAGATGTTGATATTAGAGAAGGCTGGATCAAGGGCATGTGGGAACTCTTTATAACATCTTAAAACTTTGCATAAATCTAAAATTGCTGCAAATAAAAAGGTTTATTAATAGAACAAAAGTCAGGCATACCATTGACTGGAATCGAACCTGGGACCCTTCAGTCCGCAGGCCGACGCTCTATCCACTGAGCCAAACTGGTTTCGGCAACAAGTAATCATTGATTAAAGAAGTTTTCCTGTTTAACCTCACAAAAAAGTATCTTTTTATCAGCAGTAACCATTTAAATAGTAAACATTTGCCCATTAATTTTACTTCTAGGGTTTATGTTAAAGAAACAAGGAGAGATACAAAAAAATATGCATCAGGAAAGTTATCTCAGTTATTTGAAAGCTCCACTGGACACAACCTATATGTCCAACAGTAAAGGATCAGTTAAATAAACTATAGTGGAGCCAGGAGATGGAATCCTATGAAATCACTAAGATGCTCTTTTTGAAGAATGTTTAAGGGTATGAGCCAATGAAAATAGCTTTATAAAACTGCACATATGGTTTTATCCCAATTTTGTTTTATACACACGCACACACACTTGCATGCACATACACACATACACATACACCACAGAAAGTAAAATTATGTAAATGCTAACAGTGGTTATCTTTGAGACTATCTGTTATTACTCATTATTTCTTTACTGTTGTTTCCAAACTTTTGCTGATAACAAAGATGATTTCTATAATCAGTTTTGAAATCAACCAACACTTCTCCAATACCTAAGCCTGCACTGCCCAGTAACAATATAATGCAAGCCTTGTGTGACCACATTTTTATTAGCCACCTTGGTTACCTTGGAGCCAGATGCTGAGTACACAACCTTCCTTGCTTCGTCCACATGAAGGCTCTGAGGTACAGCGGGATCTTCTGAGCCTCCATCCCAAATGGTGAATTTCTCCTGGCCAGAGAGTAGGTGCCACAAGCGCAGGGTGCGGTCCCTGGAGGCGGAGATGGCCTGCGTCCCTCTGGCAAACACGGTCACACACCTCACCTCGCCTGCAGCAGGCCAGGGTGGGGAGAGGATATTAGCTGGGAACCGTCTGACCTTCCAACTACCAAAATGCCTGTTGGCGTGGAAATTCCCCGGTTTACCAGAGAAAAGATGGATAGGTTTGAACATACCAAGTTAGAAATCATGGAATGCGGCAAAGCTAAAGTGAGAGTGTAACAACTGGCTGGGATTAAATCAACTGCCCAGATGTTGAGTTGTAATAAACAGAGATTATTGAACTAAATAAAAGTTCCGCATCATCCAGGGAGTGTAAGAAAAGCAAGGTAGAATTATAGACTGTATAATTTTGGAGAGATGTTTTCTAAGCAAAACATGAAATTTTGAAGACATAATGGGGAAAAAATTAACCAATTGGATTACATAAAAATGTAAAACTTCAGGAGGTAAAATGTAACTGAAAGGCATATGACAGATTGGAAGAAAATATTTGCAGTATATAACAGTCACATGGAGACTCTCCTTAATAAACAAAACGTTCTTATAAATAAGCAAGAAAAACACAAATAACCTCACAAATTGGGCAAGGAATATAAACAGGAAATTGACAGACACAGCAGGGTAGACGATAAGCATTATGAAATGATGCTCAACCTCATAGTCACCACAAAAATGCAAGATGAAATACTAATACTATTATTATCCATCATATTGGCAAAAATTTTATAGATTGATTGCTGGAGTGCTGGCAAAGACATAAGAAATCAGCTATTCTCCTACCTTGCTAATGGGAGTTTAGGTTGACATATATTTGTAAAAAGGTAATTTGGTGCCGTTTATTAAAAGTTAAAATGTGCAATCTCTTGGTTTTGATAATATACTATAATTATGTAAGATGTCATTTGGGTGAATAAAGGGTACACAGGAGCTCTGTACTATTTTAGTTGGCAACTTTTTGTGAGTCTATAGGTATTTCAAAATAAATAGCTAAGGAAAAGAAGAATAAAGGAAAAGTGTGCATAGAATTTGATTCAGAAATCCCACTTCTAGAAATGTCTTACAGAAATAAGAGTATAAAAGGACTTTAGTTGTATCATTGTTTTATATGAAGATATTATGCAGGCATTAAAAATAAAAAGATATATATATATATATAATCAGTTGACCATGATAATCATTATTATTTTTATAGCCAATACTTACTGCTTCTATGTGCCAAGCATAGTTGTAAGTGGTTTGCATGCATTAAATTCCTTTAATCCTTGTAACAACAGTGTGAAATATGACTATTATCCCATTATACAGATGTGGAAACTGAGGCTTAGCAGAATAGACTAACTTATCCAAAGCTACCTGGTTAATAAATAATGGAGCCACTATTTGAGCCCAGAGCCCAGGCTCTCAATCACTACAAAATATTGTTACATTATATTATGATAAAAGCAAGTTGCAGCACAGTATATAAAATAGCATGATCTGATTTTTGACAAAAGTATATGAGCCCATAGAGAGTTATGTTAGCACAAGCCTGGAGAAAATTCGCTATTGGCATATGACAAACTGTGAACACTGATCACTTCCAGGAGGAGATTGAAAGGGGGAGAGACTAAAGGAAGGGAGTTTTAGGTCTTTATGATTTAAATTCCAACAAGATAGTGGGTGATTTTTATTTGTTGCAATTTGGGTATTTTCAAGCAACATTTTTGTAAATAGTAATGCTTTACAATATATCCCCATAGATAACACTATATTACTGTTTTTTTTTTGTTGTTTTTTGTTTTTTTTTAATATTGATTTTTTGACAATCCCCTGCCCTCCCTTACCCCCCAGTGTCTTATGTCCATTAGTTATGCTTAACACTATATTACTGTTAACATGAATTAGAGATATACTGTATACATGATATGGAAAAAGGTAAAATATATGATGTTAACTGAAAAAACAAACAAACATGGTTGCAAAAGCTTATATAACTATGCCACATAATGACGTTTTGGTCAACAACTGCATATACGATGGTGGTCCCATAAGATTACAATGGAGCTGAAAAATCCCTATGGCCTAGTGACATTGTAGCCATTGTAGTGCAATGCCTCACTCACGTGTTTGTGATGCTGCTGGTGTAAACAGACCTACTGCGCTGCCAGCTGTATACTATGATGCTCCCACAATGATGAAATTGCCTAACGACTCATTTCTCAGAGCAGATTCTTTTCGTTAAGTGGGATATGACTATAAAACCATGCCCTAGCCGGCTTGGCTCAGTGGATAGAGCGTCAGCCTGCGGACTGAAGGGTCCCAGGTTCGATTCCGGCCTAAGGCACATGCCTGGGTTGCGGGCTCAATCCCCAGTAGGGGGCGTGCAGGAGGCAGCCAATCAATGATTTTCTCTCATCATTGATGTTTCTATCTCTCTCTCCTTCTCCCTTCCTCTCTGAAATCAATAAAGAAATATATTTAAAATAAAAACCAAACACCCCTTGAGGAAGGGAATCAAACCTGCAGCCTTTTGATGTGCAGGACGATGCTCCAACCAACTGAGCCAGGGCAGGGTGCCCCTTTAAATTGTACATCCAAAGCGTGTGCCTCACTCCTCTCACCCTAACCTTAGCCCTGGTCTGTCTCTCTTCAGCCTCCAGAACAGGGCCTGGTGTACAGTGGACAGTCAATGATTGATCAAATGAATGAACTACAGTGGTGACGGGACTCTGCAGAAGTGAAAACTTCACTGTGCCTAACAAACTGCACGGATGTCCACAGTGCTCCGCCTCCCTGATCTATACCTTCTGCAGTGTGGCTCTCCTCCTCCCATCAAGAGATAAAGTCTATGTCCCTGCTCATTGATTTTGGACTGTTCTCGTGACTTCCTTTGGCCAGCAGAATGTGACAGGGTGCCAGCTCCAAGGACAGTGCCGGGCCTTAAGGGAACTGGTGCTTGCCCTCTAGAGACCCTGCCTCCGCCCCCGCTCGCCTGCTGGAGGGTGGGAGACCGTGAGGAGCACAGTTGAGTTGTCTCAGCTGAGAACATCCTGGACCAATCAGCTCCCACATGCCTCACTAACGCATCACAGATGCATGAGCAAGCCTGGCTCAGACCAGAAGAGCTGCCCCGCTCGGTCCAGCCTGACTTGTCAATTCACAGAAGGTGAGCTACATCAACAGCTATTGTTTGAAGCTACTATGTTTTGGGGTGCTTTGTTGTGTGGTGATCACTAACAGATGCAGGATCAAAGCCAGGGTTTTGGCACAGAGAATTGGTAGTGGAGGGGATCTGGGGACTGACTGATGGATGTGGGACACCAGGAGGAAGGTGATCCTAAGCCAGTGCCCAGCCTCACCTGTGTGTCCAGTTAGGATGTGGATCGCCTGATGCTCTTCCGTGTCCCACACCGCCACGGTGCCATCCTGGGTGCCAACCACCAGCAGCTTCTCTTCCAGGCTCCACGCCATAGCAGTGATGCCTACAGCCCACAGAAGACAACAGTGAGGACATCAGCGCCCAGGTACAAGTGCTCAGCCTTGAGGTCCTCTAATGGGCCCCCACTTCACAGATAGGGAAACTGAGGCACGGACAGATTCAGTCCCTGTCCAGAGGCACACACCTAGGAAGTAGCAGAGCCAGGACTTCGAAGCCAGAGCTGTCAGTAATCATTGACAGCCCTGTACCCCAAAGGGCTGCAGGTTTGATCACACCATCACACCAGATTCAGATCTCGGCTATAATATTTATGTTGCTCTCGCGGACTAAACCATAACTTGGTCATAAGTGTCTCTCTAGTTCAGCGGTTCTCACCCAGGGGCAATTCTGCTCCCTAGGGAACACTGGGCTGTAATGTGAGAGAATAATGAACTATTTTATTTAATTTAAGCCGCTATTATTTTGGCCTTTGTTACAACATTTGAACTGTATCCTAACAAATACACAGTGTTTTCCATTAAACCAGATTCAGTCTCAGAATCCTTCTCAATACAGCATTATAGTGGCTGACCCTAAATCAATTGTCCCATTAATTGTACTTAATGTTGCTTAGAATTTCTATTTTGGAAGCATTATGCCTTGGGAGTATAGCTTTCCCTATAAGGCAACTGGCATAGAAGTGTTCTGAGCTGCAATAACTGACAGTTGAACCACAAGCTAATTGTATTCAGTGGCCTCCTGGTCAATGCAAGAGATTGTGGGTGAGCAGAAAAAGGAATGGATGAATGGCGGTGGGCTGGAGGATGGATGGATGGATGGATGGATGGATGGTTAGATGAGTAGGTGAGTGAACGAGTGAATAGATAGGTATTAAATGGGTAGACAGATGAGTCAATTGATAGATGGGTAGGCAAACTGGTGAATGGCTGAGTGTATGGATGGGTGGAGGGTAAGTGAGTGGATGGAAGATGGCCAGATGAGGGAAATAGAAAGATAAGTGGTGTGGATAGAGGGACGGAAGGAAGGTGACTAATGGAAGTATGAGTGGTGATGGGTGGATGGATGGAAGGAAGGAAGAAATGTAGAATGGGGGGTGGGTGGACGGATGGATGGATGGATGGGTGGATGGATAATTGATGGAAGGATGGATAAGACAGACAGAGAGATATATGAATGGAAGGAAGGGAGGAGAGGTTGATGCATAGATGAATAGATGGATGGAAGGAAGGAAGAAATGTAGAATGGGGGGTGGGTGGACGGATGGATGGATGGATGGGTGGATGGATAATTGATGGAAGGATGGATAAGACAGACAGAGAGATATATGAATGGAAGGAAGGGAGGAGAGGTTGATGCATAGATGAATAGATGGATGGAAGGAAGGAAGAAATGTAGAATGGGGGGTGGGTGGACGGATGGATGGATGGATGGGTGGATGGATAATTGATGGAAGGATGGATAAGACAGACAGAGAGATATATGAATGGAAGGAAGGGAGGAGAGGTTGATGCATAGATGAATAGATGGATGGAAGGAAGGAAGCAAGGAAGAAAGGAAGGCGGGAGAAAGAAAGAAGGAACGAAGGAAAGGACAGACGGAAGGAAGGAAGGAAGAATGAATGGACAAATGGATGACAAATGAATAGAGAGAATGAAATTCTCTTGACCCACTGACATTCTGGTGTCCCAGGGAATCTACAAGTTCCATCAGCATCTCAGGGGCCCGTCAGGCACCAGCCCTTAGCTTCCTGACTCACTAGCATCAGCCTGTAAATTGCAGACACTCTGTAGGATGGGCACTAAATTCTTAGAGACAAGAGCCCTGAGGCAGTTGGCACCCCTCACTCTGGGCTCATTAGCAGTCTTCACACTAGTAGTCTATAGTCCCTGTGGACTGTAGACTCAGCATGAGACAGTGGGGGTAGCCTTGTGGGCACCCTCGGGGCCTCCAGGCTGGCAGAGGGGAGCCCCAGAGAGTTGCCTGAAACAACTACCCTCCCTTGTTCCCGGGCAAGGTGGGGGGCCCTGGTAGGACTTTTGTTACACTGGGGAGACCCACCTTTGTGACAGCCAGTGAGGGTCGCCCGGAGGGGTCCTCCTGGGGGCTGGAGGAATCCTCCGAGAGGCACCAGCACAGGGTGTGGGCACTCCCGGAACCAGCGCTGGGCCTGTTGGCACAGCTCTCCCACCAGTGCCGGATGCGAGGTGGCGAAGAAATGGAGTCTGGCCAGGATTTCTGTATATAGGATGCTCCTCTCTACAACAGAGGGGACTCCAGTTAAAGGGAGGGGCTCTGCTTTTCCGGGTCAAGCGCTCCCCCTTTTGCCCATCATCCTCTCCTACCTCTTATCCAGGCACATTTGCCCCTACTTCAAGTGTGCAAGGTGGTTTCCAGCCTTTGGGCCTTCACCTGGAATGTTTTCTTCCCCTCCCCTTTCTCATGCCGATCATCTCATTCTCATCTCAGCTCAAAAGTCATTTCTGAAAAAAAGCGTTCTCCAGTCCAACCCTCCAGTCCCCACAGTCCCCACCCCAGGCCTTATCGCAGTCACAATCTGGCATTTCTTTGTGTGTTTATTCAGGGGCCCAGCCACCCCCACTACCCTAGACCTGGAGTTTCCTGGAAACAGGAATAATGTTTGTCTTGTTCATTAAAGTGTCCTTACTGCCTAGAACCTTATAGACACCCAACAAGTCTTGGTTAGAGAAATTCCCGGTCATTTCCCCAGCACTTCACAGTT